CGGGACCATGCTTTGGGCTTGTTTTCTCTCTGTTTTCAGACTGAGCTGCCGAGGCTCCTATTCTTCAGTTAGAAAACAAATCACCCAGTTGTATGGCCACACAACTGACAGTACCTCAGTAGCAAGGGGAATACTTAAGGCGAAGGTGATACTACTGTGTATGAAGAAATAATATTAGCACAGTGTCCATCTTAAATTTTTTTTTTTAACTCCCCTTTATAGGTCTCACCAGATGTATTACATGTTTGGCTTCCTGTTTCTGGTATTCATTATTTTGGTTATTACATGTTCTGAGGCCACAATATTGCTCTGCTACTTCCATCTATGTGCAGAGGTAAGAAGTATTCTTCAGTATTCATACTTGATATGCTTCCAAAAAATGTTAAGGCTTTTGTAATTGGAAATAAGTATTCCAGAATTCCGTTACAAGAACACCGTTACAAGATGTCCTTAAATCATGTCTTTAGAAAGTGAAGCAGGCTGCTTTTGGCAAAGCTTGTAACAAATACTAAAAACCTACACTGAGTACCACTCAGTCAGATATCTCATCTTTAGAGTCTTAACTCCCTGTTTTCTTGCAGATGCTAAACTAATCCATTAACTTTGTTCAGTCAAAGTGCATTTTTGCACATGCTCAACCTTGAGAGCGGGGGGGGAAATCTCTGTGGCTGGCAGTAATAGGTCTGGCTTATTTGGATTTTTAGATTTTTGCCTATTTGATATTGATCTTTAGGTTTCTAATTGTTAATCTCTAATTGTTAATGGTGTAGTTAACGCAGTATTGATTTTATATAGGTTTTTTCCTGTAGATAAAAACTATAAAAACTCACTTTTTGATAAAGTAATAATAGAAAAAGTAGCTATGCATTGAGTAATAGGATCAGTGTGTTAGAGGTATATGGAATATTACTCATACATATTTTCTTTTCCCACCCCGTCTAGGACTATCACTGGCAGTGGCGTTCATTTCTCACTAGTGGTTTCACTGCAGTTTATTTCCTGATATATGCAATACATTATTTTTTTTCTAAACTGCAAATCACAGGAACAGCTAGCACCATTTTATATTTTGGTTATACCATGATTATGGTTTTGATCTTCTTCCTTTTCACAGGTAAGTGTATTGAGCCTTAATTTTAAATGTTGAGTCTACCTTTAGCTTTGCACAGTAGAATCCTTGGCAAAACTTATCTTGATACAGGATTATAAATTTATGTATGTCTTTGATTTTTTTCCAGTTAGTTGTGTAGCATTTTGCAAGTCTCTGATCACAAATTCTAGTGAGAGATTAAGTGAGGATGAGGCAAAACTAATGCTAATTTGAGGTGTGGCCTATAATTAGATCTTCAAATACGATGCCTTTAAATGTGATAAATACATCTCAGGATTTAATTCCTATGTTAGTCATGTGACAAACTAATTTTTTTTAATCAGTTGTCTTTGGAGAAACACACTTCAAATTGCACACAGTCAAGTCTAAAGTTATGGTATCAATTAAGGAAAAAAATGCAGCTTTTGTGGAATAGGAGGAAGGAAGAGAGAGGAGTAAAAGTTGACAGAGAATACTCCCCTTCCCCCCACTCCCCCTCATTTGCTCTCTTCTGGAACTTTTTTACCTTCTTTCCCAATTGCGTTGAAGTGGCAGGGGAAGCAGACAGAACTACTTAACCATTTTTTGATGCAGTCGTGTCAGAACCTTGTCATCTTTATTGTGAGCTTTTGGAAAAGCATCTGAATTAGGTGCTGCACTTCAATTTCTTCTTCAATAAGTGAGATGAGGTGACAAAATCTTCCTGTCATCTTCAGTACTAGAAAGGAATCTACGGTCAGACACACTTATCCCTTGTTTGGGGTGGAGGAATGGCAGCAAAAGATGCAAGAAGGCAGCAGCCACCAACTCCCCAAAAGTCTTAAAAACACTAAATTCTGTCCCAGCAGAATGTAATCGGTCTTTGTGGACTGTACCCTACAGAGCAGTATTTTTGAAAGTGTTTTGAACTGATTGATGCTTTAAATAATTTCAAGCTGCACGTTTATGAAGAAGTTTAATGATTCCTAAGGCTTTGATAGGGATTTATGTATACAGCTATAAAGGCTATATTTTGAGGCCTGTTAGAACACAAATGGCTTGTCATCAGAGCTTTCAATACAGATCTTACTATAACTGTAAGTAGAATTTTCATTTCCACTTAACGTAGGAGAACAAAAAAAATGTAGTAGGAAAAGAACTGACATTTGAGAATGGTGTTCATTTTAAGCGTAAGTGAATATTAATTTCAAAGACGTTGCCACTTCAGCTTACGAAATATTGAAGCAGTTTGTGCACCGCAACTGAATGCAGATGATGATGAACAGGAGCAAGAGTCTGCAAGGAGTTTCTTGGGTCATTGCCTGTTAAAAGGAGGGAATGGGACTTAAGTGCATTATATAATCTCTTTGAAAAGTGATCAAGCTGTGTTCCAAAAGTGGTTAGTTCTATCTTCCATTCTTTTTAAGTCAGTCTAATGTGTCTTGGCATTGCTTGCGGATGTTTTGTAAGTTGCACATCATCTCTACTTTTATTTATATTTTGTGTACTGCTTAGCAAGTAATTCTGAGTGTGTCGATCAGAGATTCTGCCTCCCTTTCTTGCTCTGTCTTATTTCTTGCCCTGCCTTTCTCTTAACCTTTATTTGTGATCTGGGTTTACTAATGGTCGAATTGAACTGAAGAACTTAAGAATGCATGGTTGTTCCACTAGCAATGAATGTGTACTGCTGTATGTAGATCTATTCTAAATGCGGTGCAAACTTAGAAAGTAGCATGAAAAAATAATTAGGCCTTACATAAGTGTAAGGTCAATTAATTTAGTTTCACTAGCTTTTCCAATGGATATTCAGCATGTCTGCCTTTAATAGTAAACAGTCTTGGCCAAAACCAGAATTGTGTTTACCCTGTCTCCCTTGTTCAGTCTGTTTACTTTGGATGCATGTAGTATTTCTGGAGTGCACACATTCAAAATAAAGGGCATATACAGTACATTTCCTATGCTGAGACTTGGCTTAGTTGCCTTTCAGCACTTAAGGTACCCATATAATTTCCATCTTTTGCCCTTATTCTTTCAAGTCAGTCATGTCACACGACATCATCTAGAGGCATTAAGATGTGTCCAGTGCATCTTCCTTTTTCTTTGCTCACAAGTTCACTCTCAATTGATCAGTTGGCTGTGCAGCGCCTGCCAGCAAATCTGGGGAGTCCTTTTCAGGGTAGGTTCACAAGCATGGAAAGAAGAGGTGATTTACTGTCAGACCCCTTGAGATGCTTTCTGTGTGGTAGTCATTTGTATGTAATTGGGACAGTGGAGATGTGAGTTATGCTCTGCAACTTGAACTAAGCTTTCAGAGTTTGTATGCTTTTGTTTTTTGAAATTTTCGGTTTCTGTATTGAAATTAGCAGAGAATATATGTGAGGTTAACCAAACGGTTAGAACTTTGAAACATCATATGCTTAAGCAATATTTTTTTTAATCTACTTCCCACAAAATTAACTGCAAATTATCCTTTAATTTGAGGGAATAGTCCTATTTCTTAAGATTTAAGAATTATTTTGTCCATTTAGGTTGATATGCATTCAAAGGTGGATGTGTTCAGTTCTCTGAGATTTACTGAACTGCTTTGAGATAAGGTTTTACAGAAAAAGTTACAGGCAGGGTAAGGGGACAGGCAGTTCTCCAGTTTCATAAACAAAAAACTGTATTCGCAATTTAGCAAAAACGGCTCCTAAAGGCAACTGGCTTCCTGTGTCAGGATAATAAAAAAGCTAAAAAGAGAAAATGATAATTGTTGTATCAAAACTATTCTGCTGCTGCTTACTCATCTGTTAAAAATCGTCAGTATCAGGAAGGGGTTTGACGGTGCCCTGCTGCTATGTCAGTGTAACACATGCTTCAGGCACTTGCATCCATACTGCATTCCAGGTCATTGATCAGACTCAGCAGGCAAAATACCGGGAGCTACATGACAAATCTTTGATTCACAGCTGGGACCACAACTACGTATCATAGTAAATGAGTCAGTTAAACATCAGTAGTTTAGCAAGCGTGAAGGAAGGGGGGGGAAAAAAAATTACCGTGGTATCATTCATGGTTCCTTCCAAGCTCGTATAGTGAATGAGTTGGCACACAACTTTTGTTGTGCCTCTTATCAGATCTAAAATAAAGGTGATTTTTTTTCTTTGAAAGAACTGACTTGGCTCTTGCATAACTTAAGGCTATGATTTTAGAAGAGGTACTCAGGCAAAAATCAAATAATCTTCAGGGCTTTTTTCCTGTCCTGTTTTTTGTGGGAAATGAAGGTTACTGTAACAGGTGTTCTGAGCTGCTGTTTAGTCCATTATCTTTCTGACTGAGGCTGCATTTTTAAGTAATCCAGTTAAATTAACAAAGCCCAACTATATTAACTGCTTTGCATTCAAAAGAATATTTTTGTTAAAAACTTCTGTTGGACTTTTACAAAGAGAAAGGATGCAGGTATTTTTGTTCAGCTAAAAGGATTATAAGTTATCAGGGAAACAGTCTTTGTCCTAAATTTCAGTTCAAGTTTGCTTATACCTTTTGACTGCCTTAAGTATTTCAGAAGTGTTTATTTTTAAGGTATGTAACACATGTTTTCAATAGGAAGTACAAGTTGTGTAGTAACTACACTATGGTTCGACATTTGTATTAACTTGATTTACTCAAAAATGAAGGTAGTGCTCTAATTTTCCAAGACCTTGAAGTATAACTAAGAAATGGGAACTCCTTTTGATGCTGTCAATGTAATTGGTTTATTAAATGTAATGCAAATATTCTGACCAGCTGAGCAGATCAGGTAAAGCGTGTGTGGCTAGTCACTGAAGCAATGTGAAGGAGTTGGACTGGGGAATAATGAAACAACAAAGAACAAATATGTACGAAGGGAAATGACACAGAAACATCTTAAGACGAGTGTCTTCCACGTGATCAGCTCTATGATTGTGAAAATGAGATACTTTAGATAGTAGTTGATGCCTATAAAGACCAGGTACTGTCTGTAACTTTCTGTTATATGATATGATGGATGCACTGAAGACTAAAGATAGCAGATTGCATATACGTATGTCCTGATTTATGAACTCTACAGACAGAAATTGATGCCTCCTGTGTCAGTTTTCCTAAGTGTAACTTTTTTGTTTGTTTGTATTTTTAGGGACAATTGGATTCTTTGCATGCTTTTGGTTTGTAACCAAAATATACAGCGTGGTGAAAGTTGACTGAAGAAACCAATGTAAAGAATTAACACAGAAGAGGTTTAATCTTCATTAATGTAACTTAAAGACCTGGTCTAGTTGACGAACTTGAGCTTTATCAGAAGTATTGGCTTCCTATTCTTTGAGAATGATACTGAATATGCAGCTACTTTTTCCACTAACACATTTGTATTGTGACTTAACCTGTTTTCATTCAGATCGCAATGAAGATCAGAGTTACAATATTTATGCATTTGTAAATACAACTATACTTTAAAGGAAATGTTAAATTCTAATGGCAGAGTAGAAGTGGCTGTATTACACAACTTAATGATACTTCTGATCAAAGTACAACTGTAAATAGGTTTTTCTAGCTTGGTAGGTGGGATGAATTATTTTTCTTTGAGGGAAATGAGAACTTTTTATTATGCTAACTTTGAAGGATGACTCTCAAGTGTTGCTTTTAGTTTGGATGTGATTTTTATTTTTTACTGGTGTTACGTCCATAAATACTCTGATTTCTGTGACTTCATTAGTTTGGTGTTCTTGGCCTTTTAAACTATGTGCCTCCGAGTCCTTGAATTTATAAATTCATAATCTAATAAATATTGTAAAAATGTCTTCAGTGGCTTATTACATATTATAAGTTCATAAAAAAATGTAAATACAATTATAATGAAGATGGATGCTTAAAGATTGCATAGAGTATTTTATGGCATTTTCTATGGTTTAATGTATATTGACACACGCCAAGATCTGCAAGAAATGTTACTTGTGCTACATGGCTATAACACAGAAATGTGATTGTGGCGCATGAGAATTAAATTATACACTCATTTAACAAAACCACTCTGCAGCATTAATCCAGTCCTTCACCCAGATACGTTTTCAGAGATTGCTATGGAATTGTCAGTATGTTGACAAGATCTTATAATGCATGAGTCAGCATTCTCTGCTGATCTTGCTTTTAGATCTCGATGATGCATATTCTATACGGCAACTATGGCTGATTGTATGTATGTAGGTTAAAAAATAAAAGAAAATTACTATTTTTGCCTTATATTAAGAGACTAATGTCGATTTTGGATGACTAGCATTAAACCTACGTTTGCGTTTTTTTTGAAAATGGAGTATTTTGTGCATATCTTGTTCGGTAATTTTAGACTCGTAACACAATTGGGCTTTTGGCATGTTTTCACAAGCCTGATAAAATTTTATTTAAAATTAAACTTCATGTACCAATTGCCATTCATAAGGTTGGGACTTCTTATTTTTACCGGTTTACTTTTCTAAAAGACCTTAACCTAATGATGCTTGAATACTGAACCCAATAAAAATATCTTTGGTTAAGGTAACTTGTCGTTATTAACCTCCTAAAAGTTGGCTTCAGGTGACATTTCCTCAATTGCTGTGCTCCATAACTCCTCCCAGATGAACCACATCACTCTCGTGCTCCGCCTGTCTCCAACCACAGCTTTGTTCAGATGTTGTGGACAGGTTTGTTCTTGTG